GAAACTTTTGGAGTGAGCCCCAGACATAGGTACATGATGCCCCCAGTTTGTTTTTGTGCAGTGTGCCCATAAGTCATAAAGGGCTGTCAGCGCAGCCGACATGGCTCTCATGTGTCGCGGTCTAAAGGTACCTTAACATGGATGGATTTTGACAAACTATAACTTGTTGGATGGCGGATGAATAGGCCAACAAGCTGACAATCGCAAGGCTTCAGACTTGAAACTTTTGGAGTGAGCCCCAGACATAGGTACATGATGCCCCAGTTTCGTTTTTGTGCAGTAAGTCCCATAGCAAGGGCTGTCCCTCGCCAGCCGACATGGCTCTCATGTGTCGCGGTCTAAAGGTACCTTACATGGATGGATTTTGACAAACTAGGCCTCGGTGTGGAGCAGCGGGATGAGCTTGTAGAGCTGTAAACCAGCTCTACCAGCTTTACAGTTGAGTCTGCGATGCCAGCCCTCGACATCGTTGTTGGTCCGGATGCTGTGCTGGAAGATGGACCAGTTGGCAGGAGGCCACACGTTGCTGTCTAGCCAGGTCTTCTGCACGTAGTCGAATAGCTGCGTAAGGAGAGGCTCGGTGATCTTGGTCTTCAGCTTGGCAAAGGTCGCTGCGATGTGTTCTTGGGGAAGAAACGGCAGGGACATCAGCTTCCGGATGCAGGCTTGGACTTCTGGATCGGTGGTGTATGGGACAGCTAAGCCAAGACTCTGGCACTGCCTCCAGACAGCCTGCGTCCAGTGGTACAGGCAGCCTTGAATGTGCCGGTCTGGGAACACAGCACGCAGGGCGGCCCACAGTCCAGACTCAAAGTCTGCGACAAACTGCTGGACGTTGCTGCCACGTGAAGGCAGCTCACGCTTGACCGCCCGAAGCACCTTCCGGTAGTCTTTCTTGGTACGGCGAGACATTAAGCAGAAGGCAAGGGGAATCTGCTTCTGCTCGCCGTGCTCGGACTTGATGAAAGCGTGGATGCTGAACATCTGCACGAACGGCCGGTTGACTATCTTGAAAGTTCCATCAAGGTACCAGGTCTTGGCTTGGTCGAGGACTGACGACTGGGTTGGTGTCATGAAGACTAGATGCCTCTCATCGCCGACAGTGATGTCCTTGATCAGGAAGTCCGCTTGGACGAAGTCCATGGCCAACTGGAACTGGAGGTCGGTGGGGTCTTGAGGGCGCTGACCTTGACGGGCTCGGTTTGCTGTACGGACTAAGAGGGATGGCTTAGGGAAGCTGGCGGTTGGAGCGTCAGGGGCAATGCCAGCCATTGCCTCCTCGACGATCACACCAGCAGAGCGGAAGACATCTCTCTTCGATGTGGCCTTAATGGCCGTTGTTACTTCAACGGCCACATGGGCACCGGGGTTTGCTGAATGCGAGTGTTCGGTGTGGGAACCAGCCGTGAAGGTGTCCCCGTTCTGTATAACGGAGACCGGGCAGCGATGGTTCCGACTTCGCAGGCTGCACACCCAGGTGCGCTGTGACGAAGCGGGATTTCGCTGCCATCTCTTGGTGTACTTGTAGCCCCGGTTGTCCACGAGGATGGTTTTCCCTCGCTGGGTCCCACCTTCCAAGACCTTGTACGTGGTGACTTGATCTTGACTGGCGTCTGGAAGTACATCAGGAACGGGTGCGTCGACGATGCTGTTCTCCTCAGGTGGCTGTGGGATTTCAAAACTACAGGAGACATTGAAGGACACAGCCGACTCCTTGTTGCTAGGAAGGACTTGTGGCTCGTCCACATCCATCAGGTCATCAACAACTCCAGATGGAGAAAGCGCCTGAGCTGAAGCTCTGGTACTTTCTCCAACTGGAATTGGTGAATCACTGTCATGAATGGAACAGAGTTCACAATACCACAATCCTAGCTCAGATGAGTCGTCCATGAACCGTTCATAGTCTTCCGAGGAAAACCCGGTGTTACAGGACTGATGTTGCCATCTGTTGCAACGGTCGCAGAGAAGTGCCTTCTGGTTTCTACGGACAGGCAGAGAGCACACAACACAAGGGTACTGCATCTTGATCTTGAATCTTGATCTTGAATCTTGAAAACAGGAACGTCTTGAGAACTGGAACCGGAACGTCTTGATAGCTTGGGGTAGTTGATACAACTGATTGACTACGTTCCCAGTACAGGTTTATATAGTGAAATTTAAGATCCAGAATGAGCTCACAACATAATACCCCTAATTGATAAAAGATACCAACAAAACCGCTACTATACTAGCGGCAAACATGAAAGCTTTAACACACCCATGTTACCACGTTTACGAAACAATACCCCTAATAGATTAAAGATGCCCGGTGCTCGAGCGCAACATAACACGTACGCGGCGTCACAATCACACTTCAGTGATTCTAGCTGTTGGCTTTCTGAGGCAGCGGGAAAGCGCACTAGGCATAGGGTGGAGTGGACTCGGGGAAAGCACTGAAGTTAGATAACAGTTTGACATTTTTGAAATCAAGGGAAAATAATGATAGACACAATGTTTTTTCATTTTATCCCGGACCATCGCATCAAATTAATACTGGCCATCATATATTTTGTTATGCTGCAAACAGATTTAAAATGGCTCAAAGGATAGAATTAAAAAGGAGAGGAAATGAAAATGGAGAGGGCAGGGAAGGCTGGGGAAGAACAATAATACAAAAAAGGAGACAACAATTACATTGGGGCGGAATGTGCAGGGTTCGACCTCAACTTCTTTTGTTCACTAGCCAGCCGGGCTACTGGCCCACGGGCATTTCTACTAGCCCGCATTTTTTCTTATCTGAGATACAAAATGGCGTATTTTCAAGTGCAATTCTGAGGGAATTTTGTTGGTGTTTTTGATTAACAGATCAGATAATTTAATCCTTTAAAACAGTTGATAATTAGACACAAATTAAAGGGGTTTCCTTTTTGAATTTTATGATTTTTTTCTTTCTGTTCGTTGATCTTTGCCGTATCCAATAAATTTTTCACTCGCACGCCGGCCTGGTTAAGGAATAGTTTGTCTAGCCCCGGCCGCCGCTGTTTTGACAAGCATTGGTTAGCGGGCTATACCGCTAATTTCGAACCCTGATGTGTTATGTGTTATACCTCCATGGTTATACCAAGCATTTCAGTTGTAAATAGAAATTGCGGATGTCCCCGCGTGTCTCCTTTTTAATTGATCAATGGTTGTGAACCACAATGAAAGTTGAGTGACAGGCAGTTGACAAGTCTGATCGATCTCTTTTGATCTTCTAAACCCGCCGGTTCTTTTAGGACACCGAACCGCGAGAACAGATCCATGGTAGTCCAGAGCGTTGCAATTGGGTCAGTTTGACAATGGTGACAATTAAGTGACTGGTACATTGATTAAAAAAACACGAAAAATGCAACTGGTATATCGTTGCATTAATATATGGAATTAAATTTGACGTGACAAGGCTACAGGTATGCACAAAACGATACAACACTCGTCTAACTACAAAAATCAGTTACTTTATTATCATCATTCACTGGTTCACTCCCAATCACACACAACGGTCACACATTGAACTACGGACTACCCGTCACACTATTCACAGGTATGCACAAAACGATACAACACATGTCTAACTACAAAAATCAGTTACTTTATTATCATCATTCACGGGTTCACTCCCAATCACACACAACGGTCACACATTGAACTACGGACTACCCATCACACTATTCCCAAATTCTTCCCAACCATGCCAACCCAATCCTCGAAACCACTCCTAAAACGGCCCGCGTACGAGTTGGTTCGCGTACGAGTTGGCTCGCGTACGAGTTGGCACGCATACAAGTTGGTTCGCGTACGAGTTGACTCGCGTATGAGTTGACCAATCCGCGTACGAGTTGACTCGCGTACGAGTTGGTTCGCGTACGAGTTGACCTGTTTCCTGTGCAATGGGGCAAGTACATGTATATCTGGGGTTAAAATGCTTCCAAATCACTGTAATGGAGTGACAAGTGCACCACATGGTTAGTAGATTTTCCAGGACAATTATGAGTAACATTCCTGTACCTTTTCAAGCTGTATTTTGCTGAAAAAGCACGTACGCCCGTAGCATGTTGAACCAAACTGTTTTAATAACTCGATGGTGCATGATGTGTGTAATTGTTAATTGTTTGGACACTGTGTTGTCACAGCATTACTACTGTTCATGGTACTAGACTTATTCGCAATTATTCCATTCTTATGCAGTCATATTGCTTGCTCACTTCATGTATGTTTGGGGACTAATGCTGAAGATGCTTATTGTCCACATGCAATGACATGGACATGTGTACAATTAACATGTAGTGTCCACGTATTATAGAACAGTTGTTTGGACAGACGCCATTTTGTATTTTTTAAAAATAGTATTTTTTTTAAATAGCATGCTATTTTACCTCTATTTTACCTCTATTTTTAAGAAGATATTTTTTCACTATTCTATTTTTTTTGGCTATTTTGGGGGGTGGCGAAATACAATGAAAAAAAAATAGATTTAAAAAAAATGTATTTTCAATAGGAAATAAATAATTTTTTTCTCTACTTTATTTCGACCTGGGCACTGCTAAAAAGATTTTCTGACATTCATTATTTAAGAAATTCTTGTTTAATTTAAACTATTTAAATAATTTTAACTATTTTATGTATCACTCACTGGAAAATAGGTTTAGCATTTGCTTAGGGAGAGTGAGACAGTGCTTTCTTCAAATGAGATTTTTGGAATGAATGAATTTAAGTGGAATATCGAAAAATCATACTTAACAAAGACCTATATAAATATGTGATCTCAAGAATGCTCAACTGGCGTTGTACAAACTGAAGTTCTGTTGTCATGTAGGCCTATAGCTTTTATTACTGGTCTCTTTTATCAATATCATGTTTATTGTCAATTAGTTGAGCACAGGTGTAGCAAAGGTCACAGTCAGTATGTGTCTTTGTGTTACTTAACAATGTTGATTTGTATTGAACATTCCAGTCATCAGCTTCCCAGGGTTGAAGAATATATATATTTTTTGGACATAAACAATAACAGGACCAAGTGACTGGAAATTCATGAACGACAAAGTCAAGCCCAAGTTGCAATCGGAACACGAAGCAGGCTACAAGATTGTGTTTTTCACCAACCAGCGCGGCATGGAGAAGGATCACACCTCGCCAGATGGTTGGAAAGGGAAAGTCAAAAAGATCATCAATGAGCTGAATATTCCAGTTCAGGTATGACAACTAAATGTGAGCCAAACAAGTTGAGTTTTGCTTTTTTGAATCTCAAAGCATAGGCCTAATTGTAAAAGAAAAAAAAAACTACTGTAAAAAAACTACCTCTCTCAATATACAGGCTGGTCACCAACCATGTACCAGAAACCAAGGCTGTGGATTATTACATTACACCGTATAACTTGCAAAGCCTGTTGAAGTGGTTTGGTACATGTGGGTGCAGACCAGTAAATCGGTCCGAAATTGCCTACGCCGGCCAAATCACGATTTGCATGCCCTCAAAATCTTCAGTATTTGAGCATGCTGGGGGCCATGAACTTGAGGGTTTGTAAAAAATATGGGTGGAAGCCGTGCACAGGACTGAAGCTTGCAGTTCTGTGTAATTTGGATGTAATTTGGACCCTAAAAGCGCTCTATTTGCAATGGAGTGTAGGCATCGTTTTTCAAAATGGCGATGGGCTTCAGGACTATTTTCAGGGGTGATCATCTTCAGATGGAAATTTCTCCTAAAAGTCATCAGTTGACCCCCCGAAAATTGAAAAGAAAATGAAAGATGATGAAATAAGCTTTATTTGATGTGTGTCTCGAACACCTTGGAGAGGTGAGTATTTTTCCCGAATTTTTGAAGTGGGAGCATTTACCATTGGGGTCTATGGAAGTTTATTTACTGGTCTGCTACCTACATGTATGTAGGGTGACCATGACTACTGGTTCAGCTTGCCTATAGCAGCCATTTTAAAGGGTGATGCCTTTGTTTGGCTGGAATGCATGAGTGAACCTTTTGTGCACTCATTGTTATTGAGCTAAATCCATCATTGACAGGCACATCATTAGTATCAATGTCAGTCAAGGCTTGGTACCCTCAGTAAATGTACCCTTAATGCAGGGTTGAAATTCTTCAAGTGTAAAACGATGCATGTTTCAACCCTGCGTCAACCCTGAGATTTGTCTAGTGTGAAAAGGGCTATTGACATCTATCGATGTCAGTCAAGGCATGGTACCGGTACCCTCAGTTAACATGTACTTACCACAGCCTGTCAATTGACGCAATAAAAGGCCAAATTACAGACCTGTTAAAATCTGTCACCTGATATATTTGTAGGCCTTTAGGGTAAATCTCTGCAGATTGTCACCGAGAGAGAAAGGGTTAGCTAAATTATTCGAAAATTGTACAGCCCTAGTGGCATCACGCGTAAACATGTACATGTACGAACATTTCAGTTTGTTGGATTTTTGATTTGACATCAGTGCCGTGATTGGTCAAAGCATCACAGAGTCGGGCTTAACGGATCAGTCTATCAAACCTCTGAACTCAACTTGTCTGCACACAGGTCTTTGTTGCTACGGGCGAAAACGACATGCGTAAACCGGGCACCAAAATGTGGGACCTGATGGTGAAAGACCACAATAAAGGCATCAAGCCCGACATGTCGGAGTCCTACTACGTTGGCGACGCGGCCGGCCGAGCCAAGGATTGGGCTCCGGGCAAAAAGAAGGACTTCTCATGTGGAGACCGGATGTTTGCGGCAAATGTGGGCATCAAGTTTATGACACCTGAGGAGTATTTTTATGATGAGAAGCCCGCCCCTTTCAGTTGGTATTCCATCGATCCGGCAGAGGTGATCAAGACTTCAAAGGAGAAGCGCAAGGATAGTTATCACTCAAAGGTAAAGAAATGAAACAGAACATATAGATGTTTGAATTGGCAAGTGTTTAACCCATAATTAGCACAGATCTGCACTACAATACAGGGTGAGTAAAAAACCTCCGAAACCCAAATGGCAGGACCAAGTTTTGAATTAAATTTGTCTGTAGCACTTTCCAAAGCTAGGATATGAAAGCCCAGTCATTAAGCTTTCTTTTAGTACAAGAATCCTTCAAATCATTCTTGGACTTTTTAAGTTACAGAATTTTGAACACAAACACCATTTTAAATTTCTGTCCACGGATCCCCATGCATCTTTAAACTAATAGCATTTAAACAATAATTTTGTCAGTTACTTTAAGGAGAGCTGCAAAATGATCTACATATGTACTCTACCTTTAAGGCCTGACTTGTAATTTAACTTGGGATTTACTCGCATCTGAATGGATTACAACTTTCAGTTGTACAATCTGATTCGCTAAGGTGGCTGAGGCTGATGTCAATGCAGAAGTGCCAGGTTGAGAGGAGGCGCATTTGTCACAAAATAGAACCCACCCACATAACTGTTCCAGATAGGGCAATAAGCCCCGCCCACCTTTGGTTTTTGAACACAGAGCTTGTCATTGAGCAATTGGGTACCAGGGTCACCTGATCTGAAGTCATGATCTAATTATTCAATTTGCACTGTCTGATTGACACATCAGGAAGGGTCCCAGTAGCCCCAAAATATAAAAAGAATTTCCCTTTTACATGTATATTGACATTACTTAGGGACATTACAGTATTTGGAAGATACACGTACGTTCAAATCTCTGGCGAATCATTCAGTAAAATTGTCCTAAACTTTGACTTTTGACCTTTGCAGGACAAGGAACTGATCATCATGGTTGGCATTCCTGCATCGGGCAAGAGCAGTTTTGTCCGGAAGTATCTCCTGCCCCACGGCTATTCGCACGTCAACCGTGACACGCTGAACCCCAGCAAAGTGCATTGCGGCGACGAAGGAAGCCATCAAAAGTGGGAAAAGCGTGGTCGTGGACAACACGAACCCTTCAAAGGCAGCCCGGTCAGATTACATAGATCTCGCCAAGAATGCCAGTAAGTGCTTGGAGTTTTGCACATTGCAACTTTCAGTGTTGTACATTTGTACTTGTGATGTACATGAATACCACAACCTGGTCACAAATAAATCACAGCAATAAGTCCTGCAATATATATAGTCAAACTCCAACTTCCAACTCCAGCTCCGATCAAGGCCTGTTTGATCTAATATGATCTGATGAAAAGCTGAAATTCAGCTATAATGGTGAGCATTGCTTAACTTATTTTCATCTACATGCATATGAACAATATCAGCAGATAAAACGCCTTAATTGTCACAGTTAAGTTGAATAGGTTAGGAGTTGACTTGGGATTGGATGACTTGTGATTGACTTGTAATGACTTTTGATCTGTCGCAACCCTAACCCTGCTGAATCCAACAGGATCCAACTATATCATAAACCTGTTGGAGCCTGTTGGATTGAGCAGTAAACCACTTGTACAAATGCACATGTACATATTCAGAGTCAGATCTGTTGGGCAGCACTGTAAATAACGCAAGTTACATGTAGGACTCTGTTGGATCCAGCAGGCATTAACATTAGGCACAGTTGGATTCTGTTGGATTGAGCAGTAAGTAAACATTGGACTCTGTTGGATTTAGCAGGGTAGTCTTGAGGAATCCAGGGGTGTTAATCGTTAAGCCTTTCAGTGCTTCATGAAATTTGCTATCAGTTTCTGATGCGACAAAGTGACTGACACCTTGGGCCAAGTAAATAAAGAAACCAGATTCCCACCGACCTCCTTTTTCTTTAATCATACATTTGCAGTATTATCTGTCATATTTATTTCCAGCAAAATTGTAGCTATATATTTGCAAATCTGGTTGAAATTCTGGTAGAAAGGGTGACAGCTCCTTTGAACACAAAAGATTAGAAAAATGTTCAAGAAAATGGAAGAATACATCCTCCATCTTGGAAAATACGCCATCTTGGTGAAAAAAAAAAGAGGAAATGGCCAGTTGAGAATCTAGAGTTTTTTTTCTTGGCCTAACAATATGCATAACATCAGTGACAGTCCTGAGATTTTATATTTCCAAATTGTCATTTAGAGTACAAGGTTCGCTGCTTTGTGGTGGATACCCCAAGGAGATAGCCCACCACCTGAACTACATGCGGCAGACGCAGACCAACGGCAAAGTGCGCCGCATCCCCAAGGTCGCCTACAACGTCTACAAGAAGAACTACGAAGAGCCCCAGAAGGCCGAGAAGATTGACGAGATTGTTAAGATCCCGTTTGAGCCCACGTTTGAGGGAGCTAAAGATAAAGAGCTGTTCCTGCAGTGGACTGGGGAATAAGGTAATAAGATCGTGGGCAATAGGCTGTGTCTGTGGCTGCGGCTTGCCATTACACGTTTGTCTATGGACAGTGATGAAAGTGACTTAAGCCGCTTCCAATAGACAGTACATTACTGTCAGTCGTAGCCAAGTAATTCAGACATAGCCATAGTTCCATGGAAGCCATGGCCATTCACTAGATGCTGGAATTAATGTCCTGCCAATAGTTTCTAACAGTGTTGTAGTACTCATACTTGGTACTCGTACTCGAGTACTACTCGAGTACTTTTTTCAGAGTACTCGTACTCGAATGTCAAAGTACGCGTACTCGACATGTCGAAATTGCACTCGATCATCAAAGTACTCGTACTCGAAAAAAAAAGAAAAAAAAGAGAAAGGTTAACTTACCACGGCCTTATTTTATCGATACTTTCAGTTTGAAATGGTTGATTGGCTTGCGGAGAAATCAAAGTTTCCTGATATTCCTCTGTGTGCGTCCGGACAAACACACTTACATGTAGATAGCCCAGAGTGGGTCTGTATATCGGTCTGACTGGGCCTGGGCCAATTACTCATACTTGTACTCGGAAGTACAAGTACTCGTACTCGGAGACCTGTACCTGTACTTGGAGGTACTCGTACGGTACTCAGCAACGTAAGTACTCGGCAGTACTCGGTACTCGGAAAAAAAGTACTCGACTACAACACAGTGTATACATTTACATGTAACATGGTTTGAGGGAAGTACTGCAAAAGTACTGTTCCTGAGCCATCGGCTTTATATTTAATCAAATTTTAAGAAAAAGACAATGGGCAATAAGCGCCTTGATTTTTTAACCTTCATGCAATTTGAATACTTTTAGTCTTTAAATGGTATCATAATAATCAAATTTAAATATTTTTCAGCATGAAATTTTTGTAGCGTCTAAAAATAGTGCTTTACATATTATAAGACTGTCACTCAGAATATAATAGTTTCATATTTCAATCATTTTTACTAATAAATGAAATCAGTGTTTTTAGATACTATACATGTACATATAGCTATGATGATAATTATTACAATTAGGAACTAAATTATAAATTATATATAAATCATATGGTGACTTATTCAATAGTATATTTGTGACCTGTCATCACAAAGTGAGCTGGAAATTGTCATTTTGCAGTGCAGTGTGACAGAGCCAAAATTTGTGGTTGATTTTTTTGTTTTCAGGTGAACCTTAATCTGTAAGTCATTTTCTACCTTTCTCAAATTTGTTTTGTCCTGTAAACATAATTTAAAACCTGTTTCATCCCATACATGTATTATGAGTTGACTGTGCATTCACTGTAACACAACTACAAGATATTAAATGCCATTTTCTCAAGAATTAGTTTTACCACTTCAAGTAAGTTGGTGGTCTTTACATGTATTTCTGTTACTGAGCCAGTACCCCTTAATATTGTATACCATTGGAAAGTTTGTGTTCTGCAGAATATAGATGTATAAATACGGTGTATCTCAATTCTTCAAAAGTTGGAGTTTACGCTCATTTTGTGATGACAGGTCATACATGTAAATTTATGAACTGCTCATAACCAGTGATCATTGGTGCTCAAAGCACTATATTATCATTACCCCTACTCATCGGGCATGTAAAACATGCCTTACACCATATTTATCTTTTACTCATGGGTTGGGAGAAGCAATTTGTGACAATGTGTCTTGCCCAAGGACATGTATGCATTGCAAAACTACACGGGGGTTGAACTTGCAATTTTTAGAATTACATGTAGGCTACATGATCTTACGATTAATACAAGCTCTGTGGATGAGTGTTAAGGACACCTGCACTAGTAAGCAGGAGGTCGTGGATTCGAGTCCCACCCGAGCAAACTTATGAATTTTTGTCCACATGCTTTCAAAAATGTAAACAATGTGCTGTGGTTATACATTACTCTGGTGAAGGGCAAAACCAGTATTAAATTTCACAAAAATGCTTAAACATGTGGCCTTTTCAATTAAATCCTGCACATATTTTTGTATATTTTGAATGATCAACTGAAATTTTAACTGAAATAAACCAAATTTAATATAATAATTGAAAGCATATTTTAATTTAATAATAAGCATTTTATTTCTGTGTTAGTGATAACTTTTTTAGTTGTAAGGTTGTAAGGTACGTGCCATTCCTGACTGGCTGGTTGTACCTGTAGCTTATTTTCTAATAAAATAGCAGTAGCGAATTTAAGAACTTATTCTTTGAGTTTAGAACTTACTTATTAGTGTCTGTTGCCATTCATAAAACTCTTTATCACAAGATAATTCAATCTGAGTATCAACACATCTCATCCGCCATGCAAAGCTTCAAGTCATATATACATGTGTACTTTTAAAGCCAATGGTAAAGTGTAGAGGTTATAAATTAAACCTACACACGAAGTTTCATTTTTTAGGCCCACCCTTTCCATTTGGACATGAATGAAAACCTTAACACTGCAAATCAATATGAGTTTTCTGTCCTTCACGAGTTGCGATAATTTTGACATGCCTTTCCCACACCTTTCCGAACCGCAATCTTAGCACGAAAATCTAAACCACAAAATTTAATAACTAAATTGTATAATTTCATGTTGTCACTAGATCAATGTTTTTTGAAGTGCTTTTTTTTTTGAAGAAGCTTGTGAGATGTTTTACAAAGTATGAAGAACTGGTACCCCCCCCAAAAAATGGGCATGTAGACTATATGTAAAGTATTACAAATTGGTTGAAGTCTATTTCTACACTTTGCTGTAACAGCTGTCTTTGTCACATTCAGACAGTTTCAAGACCATTGCTGAAGATGCCAATCAAACATGGATGCTGTTAAACAAAGAAATATCCCCGAATAATCAGACACGTGCCATTATGCAGATCTTGTGTACATGCATGTTTATGTCAGGAAAGGCCCGTTTGCAGTCAAGCTTGCCTCTCAGTTTGTCGTACAGCATCAGATCAAAGAACGACCCCTCACTGTCCCCCTCCTGGGTAGCAGACCGATGGAGAGAGCCGTGGGAGAGCATGACCACCAACCTGCACAAGTTCAAGCCTGTACCATTATTAACAGGGGTGTGAAATCTGAGCTTTAAAGCTGATTTCGTTTTTTTTTTGTTTTGGATTTCAGCTTTTTTCCCTCACTTGCTGTGTACGAAAGTATAGGAGATTTCCAAAGTTCAGCTTTTTTACACCTTTTTCAGCTGCTTTGAGCTATTTTTATCAGTGGTCACTCGCACCCCTGCATTAACAAAGCCAGCAGGACACAACCTCGAGCGCAAGCCCTGGGCTCAACCGACTACCGATTGGGTGAGGAAAAAACTAACTCTTTCCTCCACTAGTTGGGCCAGATCAGAGCTGACGAAACCTGCTCCTGTGGGTCTCAAAAGACAACCATGCACATCCTACGAGAGTGAAAAAGACGGTGGCTTGAGGCTTCTGGGTTTTTTTCGAGGACAGCCTGTAGGAATACATCAGAGACGTTTTTTCTTCATCTTCTCGATACAGATTCCATTTTTTAGTAACCTGCTTGGAGAAATTCTGCTTGGATATTCAGTGATATGATCGCGTATTCATATGTGGTAAAATCTGCACAGCTGGACAATACTTGTAAAACAGATAAATGCATGAAGCAATAAGTGCCCTTCACTGACCTTCTTCGCTAGGCTAGTAACCCCCTATTTGGAAAGTCTATACTGTGATTTAATATCTCGGATCTCGCATAAATGACAACAGATATTCATCAAGACAAGGTCCATCAGATCCAACATTTGGACTTGATTGTCCATTTTGTTCACGAGTTATGATTAAAACAAATCATTCGATTCTTGAACTAAAATCACATGTAATTTTAATAATACAGGATGGCGTCATCGTGACTCAACTCCCTGTATGTAACAGGGTTGATATTTGTTCCAAATTTACAACACGCGACACAAAGGTCAGGTCATCCACACCAAATGTGAGATGCAAATCTGAGATGCGAGATCCGAGAGGCGAGATCCAAGATGCGAGACGCGAGATCTGAGATACGAGATCAGAGATCCGAGATGGCAGATATAGTTTTTTATTTTTCCAGGTGGGTGAGACGGGAATTTCAAGACAGAAGTTGGATAGCAGAGGTGAGTACTGTTAGCATGTCCTCTTTCAGGTGAGCTCTAGATTATTTTAAAAATGGAGGATTTTTCAATGACTGCATGCCCACTGTGTTTTCACAGACGACATCATGCCTAAGATATGGAGCCAGAACGTACATGTTTTTAGTCTGCACTGCACTTTGGTTCAAGTCATGCATTTAAAATAATATTTGAAAGGAAAATCTTTCCAACACACACTAAAGCTGTGTAGTGCACACACAAACGTGACAAATTGAGGGCTTTCAATTTCAAAATGTTATAAAAGAGACAAAGCAGATGTAAATTGACTCGTTTTTGTGAATGACTTTTAATACGCATGTACACACATTTAAGGACATACTCAACCAGATTAATGCAATTAAATTGACTAATAAAATAAGTACATTCTTTTACACGTCAAACATATGTGTAATTTTTTTCAAAGTTTTAAAACATCTATCTGCAGACTTCATCTACTATTGAATGACAGGTGAACAGACATTTAAAACATTCTTCCATCGTCATTGAAATTTAAATGTTCCACCTGACCTGCACAATTAATGCCACTGTCTGTCTTTTAAAATATGACAATCTAATGCAATTGCCCTAGATTCTGACAGGTTTCAAATATAAGAAATCCCGCTTATTATCATTTGTCATCTCATTTTCACCGTTAGCATGGTCAAGTAAAAATTGTATTTTGCAAAAATATTTTGGAAACACCTTCGCATCGTCATCAATCATTTTGGCAAGCCCAAGTCCTTGATGTAAACATCAATCTCATACAAGCTTGCTGAAATGAATGCATGCGTACAATGAATTTACATGTAGTTTCAATTTCAGGCATGGAACTTTCCTCGGATCAGCTGATTTCCTGGGGTTTTTCACTTTAAACTTATGCCATTAAAAATTTGACAAACACTGTATGAAGGTCTTGAATTCCCAGATGCATGTCGGCAGTTTGTGAGTGATTTGTGCACTATGGCTTCATTGAAAATTTCTCAGAATTCTATCTTACCATCATTCCCTGTTCACAGTCATTTCAGTCAATAATTATCAATATTTATAACAGCTACATGTACGTGTAAGTAAATAATTACATGAATTAAGAATATACTTTCATGGCACAGTAATTTTAGTCATCATCGTCATCGGTACTCTGCACGGCATTGGCAAGTCCTTTTACACGAGTTACAGATAAACATTCTGAATTCTTACATAATAATTTAATTATACACGTATATATCAAACCTGTAATCATCCATGATTAAAGTCATTAACGCTTAAAATCAACAAGAATTTGTACATGTAGGCTCTTGCAGAATACTCATGTTTTGGGTATATTTAAAATTAATTACTGAAACCTGAACTGAAAAATGCAAAATCTTTAAAATCTTTGGCCTTTCATACATGTACACCTTTTTTTTTTATAACAACCAATTCACTATGAATTTTAACAAATTGGCACATTCAAGAATACATCACTGAAGCATATAATCTATAAATAAAAAAACTTTTACTGCTCATGACATCAAAAACCTGCTTGTAGCCGAATACAATTTTGTTCAATACACACATTTCACTCCGACACCAAATACAATTACACTGCAAAATATTAAAAATCAATAAAAATGCATAAAACAAATTTCTGCTTTCAGATTATACTTCAAGTCTGAGACTTTGACAGGATTTCTTGTTCAATCCAAGCCACTCACATGACTTACCGTTCCAACGGAAACATGGGCAAGTTGTTCACAGTAGCTTGCGATACATGCGTTAAGGCAGAGTTAGAGCAGTGGTTAGGCAGTGGTTTTGTATCGCTCGGATATAGGCCTGAGTAAACCATCTGTGCAGTCATTAATAAATTATAACAAAGAATACACTGATGAGACACCTGCGATGTATAAGTTTATATACTCCGTGCATGCATGACTTCACCCAAACCAACCTAATGGGGCTCGTTCAATGACGACCATTTCTGTAGGAGAACTGCAACTGCGTATTTTACGCAATCAAGCACGTATTGCGCAGTGTTGAAATTGTTCCAAGCACGCGCGCTTGTTGCTTGAAATGTGTTCGAAATATGACGCAGCCGATGCATGTTATGCAAGTTGACGCTCAAAATGCCGATGCACGTGGGTGGTCTGTAGGAAATGACGTCATTTGAACGAGACCTATACGTGTAACATATTTGTAAGTGTTAAGAATTTGTGGTTAACCAATTCCCTCTAAAGTTGTACAAAAAATTCAGAGAAATACAGTACATGTACAGTCGAACACCTTTATAACAAGGTACAGTCGACTCTCGTTAGTACAAACTCTGTTAATACAAAATTCTGGTTATAACAAACATACACATGTACATGTAAAGCCTTGGTCCCGACTGTGTATTTCTGTGCACAATGAATACGACTGATGTGCCTCTTAATACAAAATTCTGATATAACAAACAATTTGGCTAGGTCCGAGAGAGTTTGTTATAACGAGACTCGACTGTTACTTGGGACTTTACGATACATTTGTACCTTGTTATAACAGGTACACTGTATCTTGTGTTAAAACAGTAATGGAAAAAAAAGGAAAACAAAGAAAAACAAAGACTTGGGACCTACAATTTTGCTTGTTCAAGCATGATCTTGTATTAACAGTGCTCTTCTTATCAGGGTTCGACTATAAACAGAATTTGATATCAACCAAAAAATGTTTAATGGTTTTGCTAAAAAAAAAAGAACAAAAATGCATTATGATCATGTAGAACTAAGTAAACTCTGAACTTGTACTTATGGAAATGTAAAAAAAAAAAAGGATTAAAATTGATAGCTTTAATAGTATGTTTTGTTCTATTTGAGAACGTTTGTAACAAATTGGCACAATTGCAATCAGGCACTTGCAAGGTCATACATAAAATGCTGATATACATTCCTGTCCTATCAAATGCGAGCAGCTTTGCTGATCTTGTCATATATTTCAGGGAAGGCTTTCTTGCAGCCCAGCTTGTCTCTCAAGTTGTCGTACAGCGTGTGATCAAACATCTGGCGGAATTCCTCCCGAGTCATGTGAGAATCAGCATACAGCATCTGGAATCTGAGTGAAATTGGAGCACGGGTCCAAAATCAGAGGTAAGAATAAATTGCCAATGTTTTATTCTTTTATTCAGAAGTTTCTTTCTGGTAATGGACAGAGCTGTTACATCCACCACAAGTAAGTAAAAAGGAAATAAAGTCTATTGATGACCAATGTATGGCCGGCATTTATTTTCGACTGACAAGATATGTTTTTCTATTCCCCCATGATGGGATGCCAGTCCATCCCAGGTTACTCCCCAGCTAATGCCGGTACCCATTTATACTCCTTGGTCAGGAGAGGCAAGTGGGGTGAAGTGGCTTGCTCAAGGACACAACATATAGCCAGCAGCTGGGTTGGACCTCCTGACCCACTGATCTTGAGTCACGACCCCTAACCGCTAGACCAAACCCCATGTAAGTCGCTGGTCAAATCAAAAGTAAGGCCACAAGTATCTGGGAGCAAAAATGACAAACGAATGCCTTTGCCACAATCCATGTGGACTTGAGACTGGACTTGAGCATGTTGAGACTGGATGACTTGTGACTTGTGATTGACCACATGCTCAATACGGTCAGAATACTTCATGGTCTACTCATTTCTGTCAAGTGAGGGAAGTATTAGCGTATCGCTAGGTTCTGGGTACTAGAGAACCTGTACTACATGTATCACATGTCACAAAGTGATCTGCACATAAGAACACTCACCCATGGACACTGCGAACATACTCTTCAACTCGTCTTGTAGTTTCAACAAAGTGGAAGCCCTTTCTCTTGGGGGTTCCGTAGGCTCCCAAGTCGACATACATCTCATCTTTGTTCCCCTTTGGGTGGACAAGACCAGGTACAGAAGGCAGCAGAAAAGGGCACAACCACAGTGGGTACAGCTGTCAACAGAATGAGGAACCATACAACAGGTAATAAGGCCTTCTCATATGCTTCAACTCAGGCGAAGTTCGGGCAAGGACCATTAGTCGACCAGTGGTTGATTTGTGATGTACCTTACTCCTGCGCACTGATAGCAACGTGCGAACGTCTCTAGTCAAACGCTGGTCAAAATGTCGTCGCAAAACTTCTGGATCCTGGCTCTCTGCTTGCGTTATGAATGCGCGCGGCTATTGGTTACCAGCGAAGCAACCAACCCCAGTAGGCTGGTTCCAAATAGTCGACTAGCGTAGTCAACCACCGTCGACTAGACAGAGTTCGGGCAAACGTTAGTTAACCATTGGTCAATATAGTCCTTGCGCGAACTTGGCCCTAGTTGTGGAAGACCTGTCATCCTCACTACAAGCAAAAGTTACTTCGGACTGGTTCAAATCTATTCAAATCGAAGACCTCAATTTTTTTCAAGCATGGAATCTAATTCTACCTCCATGTTTCAAGTGGCCTGAAGATGCCAATTGTAATATCGTTCCTATGCCCTTGTGGAGGCTGTCTGTCAATCTGGCTATTGTAGCTTAACTTTTCCTTGCTGGAAACTTGAAAACTTAGGACTTACCACTAGTGTTTATGGCTATGACTTCTTGTCATTTCAAGTTCCTATTTTATTTCTGCATCATTTTCTAATATCCACACAATAATTTTGTATTATCTCTGCACAGTTTTCATGTTGAGATTCCTGAAGGCTTAGCTTTATTCTCTCCTTATTATTGACATCCTCTAATTCATCATGTTATAATGACACCAAAAAAGCCAAAGAATCATTGCATTTACAAATAATTTAGTACTTGATTATTCAAATTTGGACTTGATCAAGAATACACTGAAAAATTGGCCGTAGATCCAGATTCGCGTGTTTAAATGTAGCTGTTGAAAACAAAAATCTGATTAGAGTATCATAAAAAAGAGGTAGCATAATGGCTGATATGTGACTGATTTTAAAGAAGACATTTGAGTTAATATTTGATTTGAAAAAAACAAAAATTCTACTTGGATACTCGGTTGATGATCGAATATTGTACACAGTGAAATCTCGATAAGTCAAAACCTGTTAAACTCAAAAACCCTTCTAACTCAAAGTAAAAACTTATTCCCATCAATTAAAATCCATTGGATAACTCAAAACTCTGCTTAACTCAAAATTTGAGCCAATTCCCCTGAGGTTTGACTTATCGAGATTCCACTGTATTTCCGATTCAGCACAGCCCTACTTGCCAGGCAGAGGATAAAATACACATTCAAAACCCATAAGCTGGATACACCCGTAGGACATCATTTCAATCTTCCTAATCACTCAATTTCTGACATGATTTTACAGGGCACTGAGGCACTAGGAAACCACAGAGAGATTGTTCGTCTTGAGTAAAGAGAAATTATGGATAAGACGTCTCCAGACCATTCAACCCCATGGTATGAACATCCAAGAAGGAAATGACTAATAACTTTTTGTCTTTGCCTTCTCCTTTTCACCACAGATAAGCCCCCCCCCCCTCCAGTCTGCCTCATTCACCAATTAACTACCTTTCTCTCCCTCTCCCCATCATTGACTTTGTCCTTTGTGTTCCCCACCTCTTGTGGTCAACCATCCCCTTCCCCAATCCCCCTCCCTTTTGTTACCCTCCTTTCTGTTCAGCTGCCTGCTTTCTCTGCGTATTTTCCTCTGCATCATCTATTTCCACTTGACTGCTTTTGTTACATCAGTAATGTATACATGTACCTGTTTATGTTTATAGTCTTGTCATTCAGCCTTCGAGAAAGACTCAGCTAGGGTCGAAACGTCAGGCCACTAACTATTTTTTGCATTTATACCATAGGTCCTTTTGGTTGGTAAGCAGTTTGCAAGAGCTAATTCTATTTTTCGATAAAATAAACAAATGGAAATAATTCCGCTTACATCCAACTCCTTGTCAAAGCAGTTGAGTGACTCTCTGAGCTTGCCGAGAGGGACCAGCATGTCCTGGACCACATGGTTTTGCTCGTACAGTTTGCGCACCGTCTCTCCCTGGGTCAGCTTCAGAAGAGATATCTTGGGAGGCACCATCCAACCGAAGAGGTAGCGGAAGAGCAGGTTGTTGCCAAATGGGACGATGTCCTGAAATCACACAGACCAGAAGATAAAAAAAATATTAAAAGCTGAAATTATGATACAAGCATTAGCTCATCAACGTGTTGCTTAATATACATTGTAATGTTACTAATAGAATGTGAAACAAAAACTATTTCCATCGTATAATTACAGGCGCTCATTACAAACCAAGTCTTGACTTATAGAAGAACAAATCCAATTTGTTCATGTTACATCAAACTTTGTTTGAGAATTTATATATTTTCAAAGGGTGACTCATATTAGGATCAAGTTTAAATTTGTCTGAAAGTTAACAATGCAGGTAATTTCCATCATCTGTCCTGCTGCTTTGAATAAACTACACGTTTTAATAAAGTTGTTTTCTTGGGCTCATCACACACTTTATGGCAGGACGCATGACCTACCGGTATGTGACACACCACAACCTTTGCATCAGAGCTTCACTTGTTTTGAGCATCACGATGTTGGGTGGCTGTTGTCTGCAGCTACACTCACCTGAAGTTCCCAGAAGATACTCCGTGTGTGACGGTGATAGTATTGCCGTAGAGGGATATACTCAACACCCGGCCCGGTACGCAGATAAGACTGCACGTGCTTGAAGAACCACGGCTTCCAGAAATTTCCAATGCTATTAACCTTCAACAAAGAAGTTCACAATGTCAGAGGACATATAGTCAGAAAACAGGGGACTACCGCGAAACATGGAATACTCTCCAGTTTTTTAATATACATGTAGGCAATGCAATTGCCGTGTCATGGCCGAGCGGTTAAGAGCACCGGACTCAAGCTCTGGTGTTTCTGATCAGCAGAGTGTGGGTTCGAGTCCCGGTGCCTGGTCTTGACACTTGTGTCCTTGAGCAAGACACTTAAATGTTATTGCTCCCTCCTTCAGATGGGACGTAGGTCCTGTGTGTTGTGTAATGCACGTTGAAGAACCCAGTAGCACTTTTCGCTATAAAATAAAGAGAAGGGGTTTGCCCTGGTGTTTCTGGCAGTAGCTGCAATATGCGCCGCAGCACCTTGTTAACCCTTAGGTGCTACATAATGGGTCTCATATTTCGTGAACTTCATTTACTTTTCTTTAAAAATAAACATTATTATTAGTGCCGTGAGTACGTAATTGTTGGTAGATACATTTGTTATATCAGACTCCGGGATTATTTTATTATAATTTGTCAACAGTGGACTTATACAACCATTTTTTTTTATGAGGAAACACTTAAACTTTGTAAGTGTGTAACAACTTCAATATCTCACTTCTAAAGTGGAAGTGCACTTTTCACACTTCAACACCCATATTTGTTGCAGGGATTAGATGTTGTGGCAAACCTTCCTGCCTAAGGACACAACAAAAGTATTTGAGCCCTGGAAACCGTATTTTTAAGAAACTGTCTCAGTTCACACTTCTTGGGAGTTGCTGCAATACCTACCTTACTCTCCTCAGCATTGTCAGTTATATTCGCCGTCATGACAACGGCCTCCTCCTTATTGTACATCAACGCCTCCACGAACTCATTGCCCGATTTCTTTGTTATTTCCTCCGAGAAAACTTTGATGACTTCGTCCATCGAGTGCGCCGGCTTATACTCCACCTTCACATACTTTTTAGCCGGAACAATCTGTATTTCTGCCGCAACGAGCAAACCGAGTGTTCCGTAGGACCAGGGCACAGCATAGAACAAGTCAGGGTTTTCGTCCTTCAAGAAATGTAACAATGACAAAAAATACATTTCAGTTACAGTCCTTCAAAGACCAAACCACAAACTTAATTTACAAAAACATCCATTTACCCTGATGTCAAAGACCTAACCACAAACTTAATTTTTACAAAACATCTGTTTATTACTGATCGAATTCATCAATATCTTTTATCAAGTGACTCCTTAATTGTTTTTTTCCTTTCTAACATGTCTAACATTCTATAAGAATGATCCTCACTGAATTTTTACAAGAAATACTAGATTAATCCTAAAAAAGTGCTTAATCCTGCAATTTTAATAGGATTGTTCACACACACCCTAGGTGGTTAGGATTAATCTTGTGTGTGAGCACAGTACCAGCATCTCTGACAAACTTTTCACACATGTTCTGTGGGATCCTCGTGGTTACCCTGAAAACTATCTAATACACTGATAATTAACTGTGTACTTTTATTACTGGGCTGTAAAATAACGGAAAATACAAAAAAAAAAAAAATGTTGTCATATCCGGACCATCTAAAG